CTGTATTTATTCAATAAAATAATTTTCTGTTACTAAATGAGTAAAGTTTTAATTAAGAAGCAACGAAAGAATTTAGGTAATAAGTAGATACAAATAAAATTCTATATTTAGGGGATTTTAGGGGAATTTAAAAAATATTTAGGGGAATATTTTGGTAAGGGTTGGTAACACTGGGCCCGTCCTACTAAGGCGTGATCCAACCTGCACCGTGACATTCGTTCCATTCAATGGCCCGCTCGGTCTGCTGATTTAAACCCTATTGAATATTTATGGGGGCTTATGGTTCAATGCTGGGACCGTCAAAATGAAAGAAACCCTCATGATCTTAGATCACACTGTGCTCGAGTATTGGATGATATTAGAGGGACTGATCTATGCGCGCGTCTTGTTGCATCAATGCGAGATAGACTACGTGCCGTCATAGCTGCAGAGGGAGGTTATACTAGATATTAAATAAAGATTTTTGAAGTTTCTATTTTATTATTTCTTCATATTCTTAGTTAAAAAACTAAAATATTAGTTTTTTCAGAGTTCTAGTGCAGAGGTCGTCGCCTACTGCGCAACGGGTCGCGGGTTCGATTACCGTACGGCACAGATATTTTGTATGGCCTACAGAAATTTGTCATGGTCTGGGCGTATGTGCAATGTGCATGTGAGATTATGTTTGAATTACGCCTACGATACAGAAGGAAATCCTAGTATGAGTATTTGGTCGCATGTCCTTTGGCAGAAATGACAGCAGGACATCTCTTGGGCATGGAAGCGATCAATTTTTTACAAGCTTCCATCGGAATTTGCTTCCAAGCTTCTCTAAAAGCTGTGTAAAGTTGATCGATGTTCGATGTCCGTTTTGTCGCCACTGTCTTCTTCACCTGGTACCACAAATGTTCTGTAATGTTCTGTACGAAAACAAACGGGAGTTAAGTGGGGGCATATGCCCCTTACCTCCCAAGTCAAGCGTGCGTAAAGAAGTTTCAATTCAAAACGGCATTTATTTACTTTTGATTTCGTATTTGCTTTGTTGGCACGCATTGCGTGTACCGTGTGCTCTTTCTGCCTTTTGTTCTATAATCTGAGACTGCTAGATGTTTGATAAAATATTACTAGAAAAATGTAAGGGAAATTCTCCTGATATTCAGCTATCACTTATTCGGCTGATATTTAGAAAGCGAAATAAAAATATAGCGCGCGTCAGCTGCCTAATGTTGCTCGCAAATTGAAAGAAGGGTAAGTATGTGTATTTATGCCTCTCTTTATACGTACTATAAAGAATACTTCGTGTCATCGCAACCTGTGACCGTTACGGTAATGCTGTGTGTATAATTTATACTCTATTTAACTTCCCCTGAGATTTGAATATAAGCAAATAAACCAATGTTTCTAAAACTTTTTTTAATTAAGAGTAAAGATGGCCGATGTTACCATGATGATTACAAAATTTCGCATTTCAACGTAAAATATTCGCTATGTCGCTACTCTTTAAATTAGTAGAATTATAACGCGTTCAAAATTTGGAAACAGCTACAGTTTTGGGTCTTTTTAATGTCGCTTTTACTATGATTATAAATGCGTATAAAATTCAACTACTGCAAAACCTTTTTATGGTGTGTTTACCTTATATCTCACGGTAGGTAAATTAGAGTATCATTAGATAAAATCGTTTATATGTTGTAAGTATAATGATATTTTGTAAAAAAGACATGAATCAAATATGTCGTGACCATAAAGGAATTCGAGAGGGACGGAGCTCGACACACGACACGATATTTTGTCCCTTTTGTGCATTATTTCTCTTAAAGCATGCGACAGTGACAGAATATCTTGCATTGCCATTTTCGATTCATTTCTTGCCCCGTATGATTAAAATGTTTCGTTACAAAGTTAAGCACTTCAAATTAAAATTGCGATCCTTTTCCAATTGCGATACCCTACACTACAGGGCCCATAATGCACTTTTTATCTGTTAATATTACCACCTTTGTATCTCCATTATGGTCTGCAATAAATGAATTGAATTGAATTAAAAAGCTGAACCTTGTTTAAGCTTCGTTTTTTCTCTATTTAACTTTCAACAATTACTTTATTTTTTAATTATTGAATGATAATAACCTAATAGACAGCGAGCAATGGAAAGAGCGATGCTCGGTATTTCCCTAAGCGATAAAATCAGAAGTGAGGAAATCCGTAGGAGAACCAAAGTAACCGATATCGCTGGAACGATTGCTCTGCTTTAGTGACAGTGGCGGGACACGTAGCAAGAACAACCGATGGTCGTTGGGGCGGAAAGGTTCTGAATTGGTGACCACGCATCGGATGACGCACGCTCAGTGGGTAGGCCCCCTATAAGGTGGACCGCCGATCTAGTGAAGGTCGCGGGAAGCCGATGTATGCGAGTGGCGCAGGACCGATCGGTTTGCAGATCCTTAGGGGAGGCCTACGCTCAGCAGTGGGCGTCGTACGGTTAAAATGATGATGATGATGAACCTAATAGAACACTGTTTGTATTTATACTGTATGGCACAGCAATCAAAATGTGAGTGGACGTTTTATTGGTAGCGAATTGTTTATTTTTTGAAGTGTAAACTTCTTAAGCGGCGTTGTAAACTTTTTTTGTATGGATAAAAAATGTTACACTCGCGTCAGGTTAAACACGTGGGCTGATTGCATCATGACACACAATAAAATTGGAAAGGTTGTTGACATTAGACGAAACATAGTAATATTTTATTTTATCGTATTACAATAATAAGTCTCTATCTAGAACGTCCACGTGGCATAGATGTCGCTAGGTGCGCTTAAACGATGTCTTGAATGGGGTGGTAGGAAAAAATAATGGAAGGTTCAAAAGAGTTTTTAATGAGTCATTTTGAATAGAGTAAAATTTTATTTCGTTTCCTTTCATTACCAAAGATGAAATGATGTGCTAAATAGGATTACGCCGCTATTAGGCTGCAAGGCCATAGTGCGCTAGCACTAGATGCCCATTGCTCTGGCCAGGTCGCAGAAGCTACGGTTGGGCTGCGGCCAAGTTTGCGGCTACGACCACGCCTGCCCATAAAGCGGACATAATGCTGGTCGTTTCTTTAATTCATTAATAATAAACTATTTATCACAACTTATTGCAGAATAAAACGTCGTCGTATTGAGTTGTGAAACGATAAAAAAGCGTGTCAATTCTTTTTTGATGACCTTTACAGCGTCATCGGGTTTGGGGATGGCGAGATCCTAAGGGGACCTCAAGCCGAGAATTGGCGAGTGCCTCTCGAGGTATTCCAGGCGGATCGCATCTCCCCACGGGGGAGTCTCCTCTCCATCTGGAGCCTCTAGACCACTCGAACCTGAGGTGGTCGGCTCAACTAGAGGGCGTCTCTGAGATTCGGAACTCGGCTCTAGTTAGCCGTTATCGTGGGGGCGTGTTCACTCGCGAACGGTCCGTCTGTATGACACAGAGTATGGTTGCTCGCTGCCTGGCCGCATTCGCGGTCGCAGATCTAGTGCTTGAGCGCTCATAGCAAACTTTACGTGATTTGGTCGCAACGACCAGTCGTGCCGACCCGGTGTGCTGTCGGTTGGTTGCTGCGGCAAGTGCGCGGCGTTCATGTAGTATCTTTAGAAAATCTGGTCGTTGCGATCACTGGTCGTGGCCGTCTAGTGCGTGAGGTGCCTTAGCCTTAATATGATTAAAGAATGTTTGTTTAAGTGGTCCTTAATTTGATAATAATATAATTAACAGATAATATTTTCAGATATTGGTATTAATGAAAAACAACATATATTGCCGTGCAATGATGATCTTGTATCTTTATACGAGTGAATATTAATTTCATAAGACGCTAAATGGAAAATCCGAGGCTGATTAATTTTCCTCGTGCAACGAATTTACCTTGAGCCTTTTTATCTCGGAAGCTTTTGCAGAAAATACCTCCCTAATTTGTATTAAAATTAATTGATCATATTATTAATACAGCGGGTGTGTGCTTGAATTATTCAGTACCCGAGTGTTTTATTGTCTGTTCATCCAATCGCAAAAGTATTTTCAGTGATGCTGATAGAACAATGTATAAAATATATTGTTTTAAACTTTCATGGTCACTTACATTATAGATATTAACGGGATTGTTACCATGTAACAATGCGAATGCCGGGAACAAATGCGAGTGAATAGTGAGAATGTGACCAGTGGTAGGGGTATCGAACGCAGTAAAAGACGCCGTCAGAGGGTAGATCGACATGTCTGCCAATAACATCTACCCGCAATTACTTCAGTTACTCCGTGATGATGGCGCTTGCAACAGTACCGAAATATCGGAGACTCATAAAAAACAAGGTACATGGTAACAATCCCGTTAATATCTATAATGTATAAAATATGTTTTATTAAAATTCTTATTTATAAACTAGATTTTATATCTTCAAACAACTTTTAATTTAAAATGAAGTAATCAATATTATAAATAACATTATGAATTCCAAATAAGAAAACAATCTTTACTCATTGCAAGTTTGTAGTTAAAATTTGGAAATTTACAAAACTATGAGGCAGTCCTTTTTAATTCAGTTACAACTTTTGTTTGACATAAAAACTTAAATATATTTAACAAACCCTTATTTTTTTGTATTTAACTGCTAGACGATTAAATCTAAAGACAATTTTACTAACTCAACGGGTTTGTTGAGTCGAGTCCCGTCTTTTTTTATGTTATAGGTTGCATACGAGCAGACGGCTCACCTGGTGGTAAGTGATCACCGTCGCCCATGGACACTTGCAACACCAGGAGTATCACAAATGCGATGCCGGCCTTTAAGGAAGGAAGTACGCTCTTTTTTTGAAGGTTCTTGCTGGCGACAACATATTCCACAGTTTTGTCGTACGTGGTAAAAAATTTCGACAAAAACGCACGGTTGTGGATAGCCACGCATCAAGATGATGGGGATGAAATTTTGCCGTCTGTTGCCTGTTGTATTTTTTTTTCTTTAGATTGTTAATTTATTTCACTCACGTATTTAGCAGCGACCGGCAGGAAGAATGACGTCAGGGAATTGACAGTGAGTGAGATGGTGATCAGGATTTTTCCTCCAAAGCGACGGGCCAAAGTTCCGGCTGGGATTTGCAGCACCACGTAGCCCCAGAAGAAGGAGGATAGGATCACCGCCTGGATACTGTGCGACCAGTCGAACGTAGGGGGCGCCTGGAAAGATAAATACAATGACACATGAGGTTTTAGGGCTCCACGAGGTTTGAATTGGGTCAGGGGAGGCAACGGCGCGAGTGATAGCTTTATTATCTCGAGCATCTATAACTCAGATTACAAAACAAAAGGCAAGTGGAGCACACTTTTGAGCTTTGGCCATGAATGGTTGATCACCTAAATCGTCAATCAAATGTCACTTTAAGTTGCGTTCAGAAACTCGATTTCAAACTTTCGTTTACTTAAAGGATGCATGTTCGCATGTGACCTAGTAATAGTGCATGATTATTCATAACTACTCCGGCGGTAATGCAGAAATAAGCGGAATAGAAGAGCTAGATTCTGATTAATGTTTTTCTCACAGTCTTAATAAATAAATATTATTAAAAATCGGTGGTTATTTTTCTCAATATTAGTAATTAAATGTTATTAAAAAAACTGATGCTTTTTCTCACTTAATCTTAGTAAAAAAGTTTTATTAAATAAAAACTTTTTTTTTGCTCACTCTACCGATTTGGTTTGAATTGACCACTATGACATTAGAATATGGCGCCCAGTTGATCCTATTCTTAGTTGAATTGCATTATAGGTTTGTCATTGCCTTTCTATTACTCGACGATGGAGCTCTATAGAAGATGCAAGGTATTAACTGTCGGCAGCCTTTTGTTCTCCAAATCGTAATAAAACAGCATTCAGTAATGACATATGATCCAAACAAAAATAAACGTAGATAAGGAAATATTAGCCAAATAAAAAGATGTAATACTGTATTCGCGCAGCGATTTTTTTATTATCAGGGTATTAATTTGTACAATAAAATTAATGAAGAACTAATGATATATCCGTTAACAGTAGGAGCTTGTAAAAAAGTTGTAAAAGACTGGGTTCAGGTTGATACCTGAAATAGCATCGCAATAAAAGTATTCATTTGACATTGTGGGTTACCTATAATGCGAAGAGATGGCGCTGCCTTGCAGCTTAAGAATGGCTAGAAGAATTTCGACGCGGTCCATGAGGACCGCGGTAGCATAATTGGTCAGTGCATTCGCCCGGATTGCGAAGGGTGCGGGTTCGAGTCCCGTCTGCTGCCTGGTCCGCGTGCATTTTTTTCTAGTTATATTTTCTTTAGATTTAAACATCAAGCAGTTACATGCTTTAAAATAATAAAAATTATAACAACAATGTATAGTTCCAGCGGCAAACAAGAGACTAGCCCGCACCCTTACCAGACTAAGTGTGACAAACTCCGCAAGATTATAGGAACCCTGACTGGTCATTGTCCCCTAAACAAACACATAAATACAATACGAGTAACAGAAATCCCCCTATGCAGAGGATACATGGAGGCATAAGAAACGCCACAGTATGTCATCATGGAATACAGGAGTGTGGCCGACCAACGGGACAGACTTCTCCAGTCGCCAGAATCGCTTCCGAAGCTTGCATCAGTCTGCCAAGGCCGCTTTCCTTCTGGACTAACTTAGGCTGGCTGGAGTAAACGGGGATGTTACAAGACACGCACAATAGTCCAATAATTAGGACTAAGTCTTAGATTAAAACAAAAAGGGTAGATACGGCACTAGCCTCACAAAAGTGATCCGCATGAATTGTGGTCCACGACCCTAATCGCTTTAGTCACAACTTGACATGCAAACGACGTACATGTGAACGTCAAAAAGAAATATTAATAATATTTTGTGTTTATATGATAAAACAATGCCTAAGAGTGTTTTTAAAAAGTGCTCAAATTGCTCAAGAACTAAAAATAAAAGCCACGGCATCACTGTTCATTCGTAAGTACTATAAAATATATATTTTCATAAAAATTGCTGTTTGTTTCGAATCTTATTCGGTAGTGACGTCGAGTACTGGTCGCGTGATTGGTCGGTAGTGCAGTGACGCGGATCTCGCCGTCTCGTTCGCGCTGCCGTTGAAACTTAACGTGCTGTTTCGTTCGGGTCGGTAATGCAGTGACGCGGATCTCGCCGTCCCGTTCGCGCTGCCGTGGGATCAGTTTTTGTTTGATGCAAGTATGAGCATACCGTATCTACCCTTTTTGTTTTAATCTAAGGACTAAGTGCGGAAAACGACCTGAAAAACTAAACTAAACCGTGTTTCGGTAGGCACGTTAAGCCGTTGCTCCTGGAGGCCTACTCTATTTCAACGAAAAACGAAATTTCGATCGAAATTTCGCACGTTCCTTACTCTGTTTCTTTTTAATTTCGAAAATTCGTTCGTCCGATAATAGTTTGACAATTAAATTCTCCAAGCCTACTCTAATTCACAAAACTTTCGAACGAAAAGTTGAATTTGACAGATGATTGTTTGAAATTTTAACCTCAATTAGACGAAATAAAAAGTTTTACCTTTTCATTTTCGTTTTGAGATTTTTGTTTAAATTAAGCCTAAAATGACTGCTACAGTATTTCTTATCAAGGCTGCTTAGCGTGAGGAACATTTTTTTTGCATGTATAATTAACAAATAAACCAAAATTTTGTTAATTGTTGTATTTCCAATACTTCAAAGTATTAAACGACAAATTTAAGTTGACATGCAATGGATTGCATCAACTCTACAAATTAGTGGGCTAACACTGTCAAAAAAGGTTCTTTTATTGTCATCGAAAATTTCGTTGTAATTTAATATTGTTTCCAAGTAAAACAGATAATCCAAAAAGTAGAGACAAAAGAACTCACAAACATGACTCATTCCATTCGTTCACAAAAATTGTTTGTGATTCCGAACTTTATGTGAGTGTTCGAATTTTCATTTGAAATAGAGTAGAGTCACTGGCGAAATTTCTTTTAAAATTCGTTCGTTGCCGAAATTTCGTTTCGGAGAAAGAGAGTAGAGCTCCTGGCTTCATCTGCTTTCGCTAGCATTTTACGACAATTTTTTACTTTGGCTGCGTTTCCACCAGAGACGTGCGAGGATGCATAGCGAGGGATGTGTTTGTAAAGAACCAATAGAATCGCTTCATTTACCTCGCCTCGGTCAGCACAGCTCTGGTGGAAACGGCTCAGCGGAGCTAGATTTTTGCGCATACAAAACAAGCGAGGGATGTGTACGAGGGATGTGTTGCGAGGAATGTGTGTTGAGAAGGATGTGTTGCGAGATTTGCACATACTGTACCACACATTAATGCGCATTTTCACAGCTCCGCTACACATCCTCGTAGGCACATTTTCATCGCACATCTCTGGTGGAAACGCAGCCTAATGACCCAATCCCGTAGGAAAGAAAGGGGCTGCTTTCCCTTTCACGTCAAATTAATGAGAATGTTTAGTATAAACACTTAATTTTATTAAATTCTGTTCACCCGTGCGAGTGTCGGCCCCAGATACTGTCGCTTAATTGAACCAATAACCGAATTATTGACAGATACATCAGTTTCCATTAAAACGTAATATTATTATATCAATATTGTTATTATTAAAAGCAATATTGGCATTGGAAAGCTCGCAAACAATTTTCAACATTAAAACATAAGTCTAAATGTCTGTCCATTACTTGTGTCTACTCAGTGTTATGTTTACTTCGGACTAAAAGGTTTTTGAAGCGGTTTTATTTATTTTTTCTTTTATTTATGTAACGATAAAACGGCAAAGACCTAGGGCGTTGGTAAAACAGCAACCATTTTTAATGTTGTTTACTAAATAAATATAATTACATAAACAAAAATATAATTTTAATTAACTAGGTAGAGCGAGTGCTCAAATTGAAATTGCCAACAATCGGTGAAACGTAATTTAATACATCGCTTTAAACAAAATGAGATAGAATTTCGCTTATTAATTTATGAAGCAATCGTGAAAATGTTATTTATTTATAAGAAAAGTACAAATATTCACATTTTGCCTTTAATAAATTTTAGGAATAACATTTTTTATTTTATTTATTCAGGCAACATAGATGATGATTGGGGTGGTTATTCAATAAATTGAAGAGTACTAGACTATGAGTAATATTATAAATTCGAAAGTTTGTCTGTATGGGTAGTAAGAAAAAATATTGGACGATTCAAAAGAGCTTTCATTAAGTAATTTTGAATGAAGTATCATTTCATTTCATTTATTTCATTACAAGCGTCCGCGTGCAACTTCGTACATATCTTTATTATAACTTTAGTTTTCGAAAAATGGTCAGAAATCTAAATTTTCTCGGAATAATAATAAATAATAAATAAATATTTCGAACACACACCAATTAGACTAGCCCCAAAGTAAGCACTGTAAGGCTTGTGTTATGGGATACTAGGGTAACGGATAGAATACATATAATTTACATATATAAGTATATTTATATAAAAATACATATTAAACATCCATGACTGGAGTACAAATGCTCGTGTTCATCACACAAACATCTGCCCCCACCGGGATTCGAACCCGGGACCTCTCGAGTCAGCGACGCCATGAAACCCGGCGTACAAACCACTTGGCCACGGAGGTCGTCAATAAAAGAAAGATCAAGGAATAAAAAGTCTCTTAAGTCTTCATCCAGGTAAAAAACTTTGTTTCTGCCAATATTCATGCAAATTCGTTTTTGCGCCGTCTATGCGTGATTGAGTAAGAAACATACAAAAATTCTCATTTTTTTAAACATAATTTTAAGCCTTTCACTTAACATATATTGTACAACTGTTTGTTATCCCTTATAAAATAAAATAAAATAAAATAAAATAAATAAAATCAATGAGACACAAATAACTACTTCAGCGTTTTCTGGAATCAGCTTAAGCAACTTCGGTAAATTGTTATCAAATACGTTTTTCTGTACTGTTTTGGATTAGTCGACGTTAATCACCATCATCATATTATGCCTCATATTGTCTCCACTGCTGGGGCACAGGCCTTCACTATGGATGGAATAGGGAGATTGGGCCATGACTGCGGATCGGCGGGTGCTAACGACTGCAGAAGCAGCCGGGACCAACGGCTTAACGTGCTTCCCGAAGCACGGAGGAACTCGAGATTGTAAATTTTTGGTCACCCATCCA